TTTCTTTGATGATTTATTATATATAATTTAACAGTGTTAACGGCTATCTTGATTTATATTATATGTACCTATATATATATAAATATATATATATTGTTGTTTCTATTGTTATTGTTGTTTTTGTTTTATCATTTTTATTATTCAAATTCGTATTAACATTAATGAATATTATTTTTACCAAGAATATTGCCGGCATCTCATTCAGTAGTGTGCATTTGATTGGTCACAGCCTAGGAGCTCACATAGCCGGATATGCTGGGGAGAGGCTAAATGGACTTGGGCGTATTACTGGTAAGGAGTGCTATGCAATCAGGGGCAGATCCAGAGATGTTCGAAAGGGAGGCCGAAAGTGGAACCAATTTTTGTTTTCCAGACGCCCGAAAATAACCTCTGAGGCGTCAATTAATTATTTTTCTTTCTTTCTTTCTCTTATCCCTTTTTTTTATTTTTTTTATTTTTTTTTTTGACTTTCCAATAACCTCTGAGGCGTTTTGGGCGATCAATTCTTTATTTTCTTTTTTTCTTTCTTTCTTTTTTTATTTTTAATTTCCAAAAGGTGGGGGCGGTGCACGCCACACCAAATCCACCACTGGCAATGCTGAAGTGAAATGGAACTTTGTTGATTAATGTAAAGTACATCAAATTTCTAAAATAACTGGTCTTAACTTTTTAGAGGGTAAATACAACCAAATAAAGAGGAATCAGCATATTGACCATTCAAAATGAACTTCTTTTTTTTTTCTGTTTGAGTTGGTAGTTTCTCAGATTTTGAATCATGGGATCAATACTACCATCGTTTTCATTGTTCACTTTCTTTATTATTATTCAAAAGAAAGAGATTTTTATGTTTCGAAATTTTTCTCGACAAGATTTAAAGTAGACCTAACGATCCTGACAAGTAGTGGTGGTGCAGTGAAACCGATCACAGTGATTCCAAAATAAGTAATCAGCGAACCATAAATAATTACTCTTAGAAATGTCAAAATCAGAGACAGGGGTCCCTCCACAGGTGTTTAGCAAATGATAGCCTAGGCTTCCCTTTGGCGAATACGAAACAGCCATTAGTATATGCCAACTAAAATCATAAAAGGACAAAACATTGGTAACATTTTCAGTAACCGGGCACATACTTTTCTTCCCGACAGGCTTGGATTCAGCTGGGCCGTACTTTGAGTACACAGAACCAATTGTAAGATTGGACCCAACTGATGCTGTATTTGTAGATGCCATTCATACTGACACAAATTCAATCTTCCGGTTAGGTAATTATACATTCTCTTGTCATCTACTTCCTAGATTGTTATACATCGTCTTTCGGACGAGTTTCCCCCTTAGCAACATACACGGATTTGTCACTAAAGTTCTTGCGCATGTGTACTCACTAAGCTGCGGTTCATTAGGTTTTAATTTTATTTTTCTATTTTGCTCTTTCTAAACTAATTATATTTTTCATTACTTGTTTTCTTTTTAAATTTTCTTTATTTTTCTTGTATTTTTGTTTTAAGTTACAATCTTACATTTTGTTTGAACGCACCTTCTATATGTCGTGTGCCGCTGTTATAAAAGCGTTGTTCAATAAAGTTCATTTCAGTTCAGAGTCCCCAGTACTCAGCTAAAATGTAAAGTTGCGTAACTGGACTTTATTTTTGCTTTATTGTCATTCAACATCAATTTTGTTTAAGGCCTACATAATAGTATATGATTTTTCTTGTTTTTAGGTTTTGGAATACAAAAGGCAGTGGGGCATCTGGACTTTTACCCCAATGATGGACATGATCAGCCAGGATGTGATGGGAGCACATCCAGAAACATAAGCGACCAAGGGCTTATAGAGTGTAAATAAAATGATTATTTCTTACATGAAGTAAAAGATATCCATGCTCAAACACCCCTTTCCACTCCCTACACATATATACACACGAAACACCAAATCCCCATAAACTGCACGTTGCAGTCATTTGTGTTTTGTCAGAATGTTTTACTCAAATATTATAGTTTTAGCAACTCATTTTAAGATTCAAGATTAAAGATTATTTTATCGTATATTATTGGGTGTATATATGTATTTCAATACATACAGATACAAAAATACATACAAACATCGAAAATATAACAGGAAAAGTAACCTATATAAATATGGAAAAAAGATATGACCTATGTACAGTACAGAATATACAGTAAATAACAGTTAAAAGAGACAAGTGATAAAAATATTTAGATATTTGAGTTGAAATATCTTATTGCAAAAAGGTATGAAAGAGTTGAGCAGATTGTAATCTCTTTCCTAAGAATGCCATTTAAATTCATTAAAATGTTGTTACATTAACCCATTATTGCTATAGTAATTTTTTTTATTTACTTGTTATTATTTCTAAATACTGTTTTCAAAGAAGTGTTTCTGTTGATTTTTATACGTACAAAAGAAAAAAATAAACTTCGATTTGACAGAACCTAATAAATAGTCCTAGCTCTCATTATTAATTACATTATACTGTTATTGTTATTATTATTGTTATCGTTATTATTAATATTTTTATTGATATTATTATCATCATAATTTTATTACAATTCTTAGACGGCATAGATCAAATTAGCTGTAATCACATGAAAGTACTCGACTATTTCACGGAATCAACAGACGACCACCGTCAGTTCCGTGCGTTTAGTTGCCAAGACTACGAGAGCTACATTGACGGAGCATGCTTTGTCTGCGGAGCTAACGGTTGCCCACGAATGGGTCTACATGCAGATGAATACACACCTAGCAACCAACGTGTTGTTGCTTTCTTACGGACTGTGGCTGAGAAACCATATGCAGGTAACACCCATAAATATCCTGCCTTTATGCCGGACGAAGACTTAGCCAGGGGCCTCAAGGGCCTCATATCAGGCGTATCATGTCAGAGGTTTCCAAAGAGGGGAATGATAACTCTGACGAGAGCAAAGTGGGCGTGGTCGGGTGTAGTTCAAAATGTTTCAAAAGTGGTCTAGGGAAGAATCAGGGGTGACGCCAGCGGAGGGGGCCTAGCCCGTCGGGAGAGCTCTCCCATTCCCCCCCCCCCCTCGGAGAGAAAAAACACAAACAAAAAATTATCTCTAAAATCGATTAAATAAGCCTTTGAAACTTCGAAATTGTAAAAATGTTCGGGGGTTTCGCCACCCCCGGACCACTTTTAATTAAAGCTCGACCACGCCCACGTTTCTTTCGTCGGGGAAATCGAAACCCTCGTCGGGGGCATCGGCCTTCCCCTCGGGGATCTCGGCAACCCCCCCCCCCCCAGTCGGGCAAATCCTGGCGCTATCCCTGAGGAGAATCCCCCGAAAAATATAACACTTTAGGGGTTTTAAAGGTTGTTTTAGATAAAGTGAGTCTACTAATATGTAGAAAATACATTAAAAAAAAATTTTCATCAGTAGGCGTAATTGTAATAAGAGTATGTTAAAGTAATTTCATTTGGCTTTAATTAATCAATCATTATATATGAAAATTATGACTGACTACTGCAATAAGGAGCCGAGTGTGTGTTGCATCAATTTTCGATAACATGAGAGCTACATAATTGAGAATCGCAGAGTCCTTGGCGTCCAACATATTAATATTATGTGTATTAATTAGGTTTTGAATTCATCCTTAGCTACCGATGTGACGGTTGAGGTTTCCATGGCAAATAAGCCCGACGGTGGCCAATACAAAGAAAAGGGTAGTCTTCAGATTACATGGCTGGGATCAAACGTCATCACGCCTGTTAAATCATTGAGTCAGTAAGTAATTTACCAAAGTGGAAAATCATCCTACAGTTATTATGAAACATCATGTAAGAAAATAGCCTGTGAGGCGTATTGCTAACTGCCTACCGTTAAGTTTCAATCAAACATCATCAACAATTCATAGTCATCATTATGTTTAATATCAACATATATGTTATTTTTAAAGGAAAGGGGAAAATTATAATTTTTTTTTTTATAAGCTTAAATAATCTTTTATGATTAATGTAAAATCTCCTTAAAGTCTGGTTTTCAACAAATTGCTACAGTATCGTTACAATTGTTACACTTAGATCCTTTTACACACACACACCCACACAAACACCAATTTAAATGACTAATCAGCTTTGCGGTCACCTATGTTGTGTGTATGTGGTATGGGCCTATGTTTGTTTATGTCGATAGACCTTGATATGGGCATGCACATTTCAAACTATAAAATGGTTTATGTGTTCAATTGTCACTAAATAGCTGCTGTTTTGATTGAATAAATAAACAAATTTCAGAGTGAAAAAAAATGTATTTTTCTAATATCTTAATCATGATTTTTCCTTTATAGAACAGAAAAATTTGAATCTGGCCAAACCTACACATATTCCACGGTTATTCCTGAGAATCTAGGAGACATTGAGGGTATTAAATTGTGGTACAGCGACTCAACATGGAAGCCATGGGGAAAGCCAAGGATATATATTGATGTAGTGAATGTCGTTGATCATTCGGTCGGTAAAAGGTAAATGGCTTAGCTATAAGTATAAGAAGAGAATCTGCGTTCATATCATAATCATCATCATCATCATACTATAGTTATCATTATACCGTGATGCTATTAACATATAATTTCACTACAGTATTATTAATGGGTTAATATTACCATACTCATCATCTTAACTTCAATATTTTTATTCTCACTAGCGTCATTATTATTCTTTTTAAAACATTATTTTTTACAGGGTCATTTTGTGCGGCTCAGGGGTGGAGATCAAACCAGGAAAAGCAGTGACACTGCTACCGAGTCCATCGTGTTAAAGTGCAACATGAATATTCATTAAGTTGGTCTATGGATGGAAGAAATATTTACAGAGACGAGAATTACTTGAAAATGCTTAACATATTTAGAAATATTTAATTTTAGAGTTAAATTTTGATTATTGTATTTACATTTACTTTACAGTCGAATAAGTAATCACAGATCTCACCAATGGACAATTAAGTAGCGTCAATCCACCTTAACCAACCAACCAATCAGGAAATGTCCATTTATTAGGGAGTTTTCGATGCACGACGGTAACCTTAACTTTAACGTTAGTACCCAACATGCAGCGCGATAGCTCCGCCCCTTTTGTAAACAAATCGCGTGCGCAAACTCGTAACTAACGTACATCGAGCACGTAAAATCCTGAAATTAATGTACTCCGCAACGCAAAATGATAAATTATGACATCACCCGTTAACGTTAAGGTTAACGTTGTGCGGCGAAAACTGCCTATTATAGCACGGTCTCCCTTCAGTCACTGCTACGATGATTTATTTAACAATTTTTTTTATTTTATGATATCAGGCCTAAAAAAAACCTGTTGTTTATGAGGTGCCATACGCAGCAAAAGTCCATGTTAAAATTTTTATTCGTCGAGAGTCCTATCGCCGACAGTCGTGTCAGAATCGGGGTACCTTTCCGATTGTGCAAGGCAGCTAGCAACGCACCCTGATTCGTCTGCGTCTGCAACGCATTCGGGAAAGTTGAACCAGGTTCAACCTTCCCGATAGCTGTCGGCCACTGTCGCCGATAGGGTGAGCGATTATATGGAAACCGAGCTTTACCCTGACTATCGCACATAATGTGTTCCCTGAGTGGGCGGGGTCATGGGAGGAAAACCTAATGTTTGCTTGTTCCGTTTGGAAGATTATTTTAGACGTGGGGGGGGGGAGTGGTTTGCAGTTAGTCTTGGGGTTCTCCTAGCTTCGCAGAGTTTTGTTTTTTCTAGATGCTGAGAAATGCACTTACGTGCATTACGAGACTTCTATTGATGAATGAATACACACTGAATTAATAGATTTTTCCCCATTTTAGCATGGACAATTAATAATTGCGATGATGAAGATGATGATGATGATGATGATGATAATGTGATGATGATGATGATGATAAGGAGTAGAAGGTATTGTAGCAGGTGACGACAGGCTCCTGTGCAAGGTTAATTAACAGGCCCTTTGATATGAGTGTCAACCGAGGGTCGTATCCCGAGTTCGTCATCACATTTTCAATGCACACAATTGGACAACAGTAATTA